GTAGAAAAAGGGCGTGGAATAGTTAAGGGCTGTGGGCCAGCGACTAAGAGGAGAAATGTGCAGTGACTGAGCTTTAGGCTGATGAGTTAATATAAGTGCTAATATCCGTCCCCCTATCATCCACCTACCTCTGAATATCTCAGCGCACCTGTCCATGTATGTACTATCCACTCGTCTATTCACTTACCGGTCTATCCATCTGCAAGACCGTGTTGTAAGCATGAAATAGTTGCATCCATCTATTCATTCATTCATAAGTGCATTCCGCCACATTTATCTAATTTGCTGGCTGACCGTCCTGTTGGCTAAATGATTGTATAACGTACTAACTGACAATTGTATTCAACAGAAGGAAGAGAGATGCTAGTTGAGGAAAAGACGTCACAAAAGATCTGCAAAGGGAAGGAAACCTGGCAGTGAAAATCATCATATGCCCAAAAGTCCTATGGGACGTGATACTTGGTGCTTATTTCCTGATGTATAAAAAAACCGTTCCAAATTTTACTGAGGAAACCCTTCCCACGTACCGGTTCACTGAGAACAACGCAGAGACTTTGCTACTGACAGGTGATGCAGATGACGTTGGCAATGGCATTTTTTTCAAGTTCCAGCCATTACCATGAACAATCTACATGACCTCCAAGCGCAAGTGAACCACAGTTCTGATGACGAGAGAAAGGAGCTCCGTGAGCTCCTGCTTAGGTATGCGAACATCTTCCAATGGCAAGGTATAAAATTGGGACGAACATTTATCATCAAACATATGATTGACACCGGCGAAGCTAGGTTCACCTGGCCACACCACAGACTTTTCCTTCTTCATCACTCATTGTCGTCGTCATCGAATCCCGCACGACAGTACCGGTCGGTCAGATTAGGCTCTCAACTGACTGCTATAAATGAGACTTGAGAAAATGTGGAAATTTGGACGATTGGCAGTAGGGAGAAGCAGTAGACCAAAGGCTGGAGTGTATAAGGGAATGGAGACACTTGCCAACATTTTTGATAATTTTATTTGAAGAAAATTGTGCTGGTAGTAGGCTGTGTACGATAAAGCTCATGAAACTTTATTGATATACAAATTAATTGCTTAACTAGTCGGCCAATAATCCATGGTTTCCTAGAACAGGCATGGCGCCAGGTGTAAAACTGGTTGTACACGCTGTTGTAGCCGTGGGCGTGGGATGTACTTAAGAGCACAAATTGGCGTTCTCTTAAGTGAACAAAGAAATGGTTAGTGGAAGGGGTTTGGAAGAAATTGGGTGTAAATGTGACATACTGGTAGCAGAGGAATTGCTGTGCGCGTGAGCTTCTCGCCATGTCACTCGAGTCGTGATTACAGTGGCATGTTATTTGCTAATGTAGTAGAAGGAAAGAGAGTAGAATTGAGTAGGACAGAGTAGACTACCATAGGAGATCACGCTTTCTGATGTTTCTCTCCTTATTATTCTGCTTGGAATCATAACAGAAGCTAGAACCATCCATTTACACTGTCGCAAGAACATAGCGTTATGTGAAAGTGTAGTTTGCTGCAACCTCGTACCTCAAGGAAATTATGCTGCTAGCACAATCAGTTAAATAAAAGGAAAAAAGGTTAGAGATATTTACAGATCCCCATGTCCCTAAGATGCGGCAGAAATCGTATTAACGTTCCATAAATGCTTCCAATCAGCCTTTGCTTAACAACAAGGAAATGCACTGTAATATCGGAATGTTTCGAATTTAACACTGTTTTAG